TCTTCCGAGATCACGATTCCCACCACCGCCCATGGTAGGGACGGGTGCCGAGGCCCCTCTGCCTGGTGAAGGACCTGTTGCTGCTTCTGTCTGTCTTTCCACCCCTCCTTGGCTGATGACCCAGAGCCCTCTGATGGTGGCATTCTCCTGGCAAGAGAAAAGGACTTGACTAGACTTTCTGAACTTGAACAGTTTCAGGTTATATTTTAATTTTTTTTTGTACAGGTTCTGATTCGAATACATTTCAACATGCTTTTTCCCCCCTCGTGTCAATATTTGTTACAGACTAATCGCCGGGGATGTTTCACCTGATTGGAGGGTGGCATGTGTGTATGTGTGTGTGTTTTGTTTTTGTTTTTTTTTGAAGGGGAGGTGGAGGTCCTGGACTGATATTAAAATTTGAGGAAAAAGCACATTTTAGAACAAAAAAATAAAAGTGTAGATTTCATGGACATGACTGTGGAGTGAGGTTGTGTAGGTGGTAGATCTTGAGGGGCTGGGACTAGGGTGGTTCAGCAAAATTGATGCTGTTTCAGGACCATGGTTAAGAAATGAGCGTCTCCGCTTTCCAAAGCGTCCAGCAGCTGCTTCCAGTTGACCGGATGTGAGCATATTCTCACTCCCGTAAGCTGGTCCCTGCGTCTGTATGGCCAGAGAGCTAAGTTTAATTCCCAGAGTATGTTTCATGAAGCCACTTGTCAGGTGCTGTGTGGAAAGGAGTTCTGTTACTAAATAAATTTGACACCCCCTGCATCCCATTCCCTCACTGGAAATTCATTATTATGGTCTTGGAGAAGTCCGGGGTGAAGAAGAAGAGAAGCCTGTGCTCACCCTGATCTTACCACCAAATCCTTTTGGGTAGTATCTAGTGGAACACATTTTGGGGAAGTTTGGAAAACTGTCATTTCTCAAAAACCCTATGTGAAGCTAAACACTTCCCAGCCTTGTAGGTTTTCCCGACTCTTCTTTCTAGGCCCAAAACAGGCTCGCTCACTCTCGGCAAGTTGCCCTTCAACTTTTCCCAGTGGAAGTAGGTCAGGACACATGGCTCGACCTGTACGAGGCATGTTTGACTGCCCCAGGCCCTCGGGAGCCGTGGAGTCCTCTCCAGGCTCTGCTGCTTCCTTGAGGACAGTGACGGCAGTAGCAGCCGTATGTCTGTAAAGGGGTTTTTA